GATGGGGTTCTTGGTCCAGAATTAATGACAGACATAGTGTTGTGTTGAACAAAAGTGTTGCTGGTGCTTCCAGATGGCGTCTTGTTTGAGGGAGAGGTTATTATTGATCCATTTGTGTTGTTGGTCGTGTTGTTGTGGCCCGATGAACCGCTGGGGGATACAATCGTTGAGGGTATTTGGGCTTCATTTCCACCCGAATGACTCGGAGAGACGAGTCCAAAACCTCCTTGATAGGCTCCCACATGAATCATGGCTGGCCTCTTGACTGCTTTCTGAGGTGATCCAATTGTCATGGTGTGGTTGTTAGTATTATTATTTCCTATTATATTTGTTGCATGATTGTTGTGCTGTTGTTGATAATGATGATGATGATGATTCCCATTATTATTATTATTGTTGTTGTTGTTGTTGTTGTTGTTCGTGTTCATCGTCCCATGATGAGTTTGTCCCGAAGAATGCGGCGATGCGATTGGAGAAGAGAGAACCATGACTGTAGATGACGCACCCACCGAATGAGCGGGTGATGAAACGGCCGCCGCAGTAAAACTACTCAAACCCACTGGCCGCATTTTTTAGTGACATTTCCGTAGGGAGGGTTTGCCAAATGGAGAGAGGTATATTTTTCGAGGTTCGAATGGATCGCGTGGTGGAGACTGTACAGTAACAAGCAATGATTCCATGCGCGGGTTTGTCCATTGAGAGAGAATCATGTCTCTTTCGCAGAGGTTGATTGTTCGCGAACAGTCGCTCAATAATTAATTAGATTCACTCGCTGCAAGACATTAAATTTATAGGAATGCAGAATTGACTTTGGCTTGTTCGTAGAGCTCTTTCAATCGAGTTTCGAGTTCTTTTCGTTCATTTTCATCCTTACAGACATTGAGCTCTTCTTTGACACTTTCAATGAGAGCTAGGAAGAGCATTTCATCTTCGTCACTATTTCCAAATCCTTCATAATTGTCATTGAGAGAGCTTGGAACAATCATTTGAGGATAGGAAGGTGATTGGAAGAAGGAGTCATTGTGAGCAGCTTCTCTTGGTATGGAAATTTTTGAGGATGCAGAAGGGTTCTTTTTCGCTGGTGACTCTGAGGTAGAATCTAAAAATCAGTAAAGTATTCTCCTTCTCCATGTTCAAGAGCAACTGGGTATGGTGTCATCATATGGAAAAATATGGTGTGTTGTTAGAATGGATTCAAAAGTGATGGACATCTTAACATGGAATACATTCTAATTAGTCATGATACTTACTTTGTCGACCTTTTTCTGTCACAACTCCTACGTCATTCTTGTGAGCCATTGAACCTTTTGGAATATCCTTATTTTCCAATTCCTTATCATTGCTAACAAGCACATTGTAGAAGAAGATGCACACAGAGTCATACATAAAATCGGGTCTTGCACTATTGTGATCTCCTTCGAATCGAATCATATTCTTGTCACCTGCATAGGTTTCATAGAGCTTTTCAGAGTGATGAATTTTGATAAAATCATCATTCTCGGCATGAGCAAAAGTGCAGGAACAAAACAGGAGCCAGCACATTCAATAGGTGCACATGAACGAATATCAAAACCAGCTTTTCCAATAATTGATTTTCTAATAAGATTAATACCCATTTTGATCATCTTTTCGGTATCCAAGATTGATACGAGTGAACGAGTTCCATTGCTAAATCTTCCAAAGATGTGAATGGACTGTCAACAACAATTCCAGCAATACTTTGATCTATGGATGCATACATGATGGATGTAGCAGCACCCATCGATCGGCCCCACAAGCCAATTCTACTCACCCTCTTGGTTGACCATAAATATTCAACAATAGTTCCAACATCCTTGCTTTCGCAATTTCCAGTGACACATAATCTCCTTCAGATAAGCCAGATCCTGTAAAGTCAAAAGCAAACACTGTTATATTGTATGGAAGTAAAATACTGTCATGTGTTGTAGTTTTGAATTTGAAAACGGGAGTTGAGTGTCGAGAACAAGAATGTATGATCATCATTGTGTTGTCAAAAGACCAAGCAGGTCATGTGATATGTGGGTCATGATCACACACGAATGGCACGTGCAGTATTGAAAATTGTGGGGCAAATGATATTTTGACGAATGATTCCAATTAGACCAATATAAATATCAAGCACAATGTCAATCATAAAAGTTGAAGTGCGATAAATCCAAAGCAACTTTGACACTCACCTGACAGCGTCTAATGCATCACATCTTGATCCACAGTTACCATGACAATAAATCACGCAAGGTAACTTTTCCTTTGTTCTTTGCGATTCAATAGGTTGATAATGTGAGCATTCAATAACTTTTCCTCTCGAGTTTGTCAACTGAAAATCCTTTCTTTCAAAAATTCGATTATCAAGAGTAAATAATTTAGGTCCGAGTGCAATAGAGGGTTCATAGATACATCGTTGGGGTCGGATGATCAAGTTACAAATCTCATCCCATAAATTTCCAATGTTTTTGATATTAAAATTCATAGTGTACGATGAAAAGAGTGATGAGGAGGATATTTGGTATGGTACAGTAAAAGAAAATTTGGTGATGACAACTATAATAATAATAATTATAATGGATTATTCTGTAGTGATGAATTGTCGACGTGTTGTTGGAGATGGTGATGATGATGGACCACGTGATGACGATTTTTGAGTCCAAATTTGATAGGAATGACAACAAGGAGATAGAGAGCGGATATCGATATCGGGTCCAGTATTGGGAACAGGAGGAGAGTGATGATGTTTTGAGGTTGATGAACTTTGGGATTCAGAAATACAAAGAACACCACGAATATGTACGATTCGTAACGTGTTTGTTTGTATTCAAATAGAAATAGTCCAATTATATGACCACAGACTTTCTGAAAAGAAGAGGTCCAAAGGGATTTGAATATAATAATTGTAAGTGGGATACGATGATGATCATAGAGCATCAACAAACATACCCTAGCTGCAAGAATTGTGGTTCTTGATTCCGCGGAAATGTCAAAAAAACGAACGGAAGGGTTGCTCTATGTGGTGAATCGTCAGCGATATATTTTTTAGTGTTTTTGACTTCTAACATACCCTAGCTGCAAGAATTGTGGTTCTTGATTCCGCGGAAATGTCAAACAACAATGTCAAACAATGGCATGAAACACAAGGATACAATGTCTCACAGAATTAAGGACACTACTGTGGGAATATGAGTGATAGGTGGATAACGATTGGTGTTTCCTTCATTTTGTAAAGATGCGGATCATTAATGATGTACAAATGAAAAACATTTTTGCAACACAAATCATAAAAGTACAATTTCAACAATCTTTTCGAACCATTTGATGCAATTTACCATTTCAACACAAATCTACGGACGTTAAAGGTTTGAAATGTTCATTGAATGATACCTTGTTACTTGTGGAACTACTAGCCAATTTTTTTTGGAATTTGTAAACATGAACCTCACCAGGTAACCACAGTTTAGTGGTTGTGAAGACCAAAACTTTAGTTTCAATTCTTTGCACCTATACCTTCATGATGGCATTCAAAATTATAGAGTTTAACTTTTAAGAGTATCCAATTATTAAGACGTCTTTCAAAAAAATACATCCTGCAGAGCTTGAATTTCTTCAGGAGGTGCAAACGTTTGACTCTGCGTTAAAATTTTCTCTTTGAGTGATCAATCAACAACAACAACAGCAATAATACTCTTTCAAAGATGCTTCCCGCACAACATCCTGAAATTGTTTTACTGGATGATGATGATGATGGAGAGGATGATGAACAAATAACACCGATTCAATCATCGCTTCCATCATCTGCTCATCCTGTCTTTCCGAACACTTTAACCCGGCTCTTCCAATCGAGCACAAATCAACAACAGTCATCGGAAAGTATCTCCAATCATCTGTTGAATAGTATTCAATCCACAACAACAAATTCTATTAGAAGTAACCCCGTTATGTCATCCGTTGATCCAACGTTTGATGGAGGCTATGATACCATGTCTCCTATACGCCCTCAAGAGAAAGCTTGAAGAAATGCAACAACAATTTGATGACTCCAGTGATGATGAATTGTATGAAGAAGAAAGTTTACAACTCACATTTGCAAAAGCAAGCAGCAGTAACTCAAGTACTAATTCTGGTAATGCGACAAGTGCTAGTGAGGACTCTTCATCGTACTATGTTACTGGTAGCAATGCATTTGGTATGCTCGGAATTGGAAATATTGTTTCTGATAGTTCAAAGGTTACGTCTTTTACGCGTATGAACAACCCTGCCATTGTGCCATCAAATATTAAAATCATGGCTTGTGGACATTATCATACTATAGCCATCACGAAAGACAATCAAATCTATGCATGTGGAAAGAATAATTACGGCCAACTTGCAATGGTAAGTCATTCACACACCACAATTAATTTATAGTTATCGTAATATTTCAATTTATGATCATATAATAATGCAATTAATTTATTTTGAAAATTCTGTGGCTCAAAATTGGGTAAAATGTTTGAAAATTTCCACACATACGTGTTTGTTACAAACCCACTGTCATTTTTACTCGAATTCATTCCTTTTTATTTGATGAATGTTGTTCACGTTGCAACAGGGAAATCTCACAAAAGTATTTCCAATTTTCAAAATGGTAGAATCTAGCATGAATGGAATACCAAAATTAATTAGAGACGTAAAATGTGGCAGATATCATACCATGTTCATTACAGATCAAGCTACAGATAATGTGTGGGTTTGTGGAAAAAACAAATCTGGCCAAATGTCACTTCCTTCAGCCAATATTTATCCTTCTCCCACTCGCCTTGTAGCTCAATTTTCAGGAAAAATTTTGTTTGCTTCTTGTGGATCTGAATTTACATTTATCAAAACCACCGACGGTGTGTATTCGTGTGGAGATAATTCAAGAGGTCAATGTGGACTTGGGTGGACACTCTCCAAGTGAAATCCTTCAAACCACTCAAAACAAGCTTTTCTAGACTCAATATTGTACAGATAGAATGTGGAGAATTTCATTCTCTGTTTTTAACCGCTTCAGGAGAATTATGGGGCTCTGGTACAAGTGTGAATGGCCAACTTGGCTTTGATCCACAACTACTAGGTAAACAAAGTGTGAATAACCCTATCAAAATTGATACTCCCTCAATGAGACAATTAAGCAAATAAGATGTGGCTTCCATCACTCTGCTTTTTGACTCTAAGTGGAAAAGTTTATATTTGTGGCAGGAATGGTGACGGCCAGTTGTCGTGTGGTGAACAAACACCTAGACTTTTCACTTTTACGCATATACCCATCTCGGCCTCTTCTCTTAGTCATCACTTTGTACAAGATCTTTATTGCTACTCGTATTATTCCATTGCCATCACAGACAAGATGGAAATGTTCTTGACAGGATCCAACAAGTGTGGTCAATTAGGTACAGGAGAAGGTCAACGAGTGGACAAATTTACGCGCACATTCAAACATCGTGTTAAGGCTGTATATTGTGGCAGAGACACCTTAATGGTGGAGGCTGAAGATAGAGAGTATAATGAAGCTATTTACGATGACACTTTTGGAAAGATGTTGAACTTTGAAGATTCGAATTTGATTCCTCTTCTTGATTCATTCATTATTTGTAGCGATGGAAAGAAATTCCCCATTCTCTACGACTTTGTGATAACACGCTTTCCACTCCTAGAGAAGTATTCAAAGAGGTCACAGAAGAGAGCAGTGTAGGCTCCTCCACAGAACCTCCTACCAAGAAGAGAAAATCTGGTGGTGATGATAGAACCATGAAGATAATTGACTTAACTCCTATTGCAACACTTTCGAGCAATTCTATTCTAAAGCTATTAACATACATCTGTACAGACGTGGTCGAGGACAGAGATAGCCCAAACTCTATACAGGACGATCTCAAAATTATACAGTGGATTACAGAAAATAGTGGCCTAGACTTCTCTGCGTCGTCTCAGGACACTTCAAACACCACTCGATTTATCAAATTAATTTTACAAAAGATTCTTACATCTATCACCAACACAACAGTTGTCAATGTATTGGGAGCTCTCCAGGTTCTCAAAAAGCATCCTTTGATTATTAACTTGTACAGACATTGCATTGCATTAATTCGAAAAATCGAAAAGACCTATACCATTAGCGAAATTGCAAACTTTGATCAACTCTCAAGGGAGGCATTACTGGAAACTCTAACATATGGAGAGAATTATCACTGCCTAGGCTCAAGTGACATCTCAGTTCCTCCTCATCATTTTCAACAAATTTGGAACAATTATTTAACAACACTCAAAAATCTAATGGAAACATGGGAGATGTTACTTTATTGCTCAACAAAGAAGGCACCAGGGTATTGTATGCTCATAAGGCTATCCTTGCTGTGAAATGTGACTTTTCAAACTTAAATTTACTTCTGGAATGGGTGACATGGATTCAAGACGGGTTGAAATTTATGAATGTAAGTAGTATGCATGTTTTATTTCTCTTTGCAACATTATGCCTAATACGTACGTTATTCAATGACTATTATTTGCTTATCACAGATGCTGATGAAAATGAGATTCGTGCTCAAGAGGAATTTATCAGATATCTGTACACTGACAAAGTTGAGCTCACAAAAACAATGCCATTAGCTTCTTGACGAGATGGAATTTCTATTCAATGGACATCAATCATCCCATTAGCGTGAAATGTCAAGAAATTATTGTTGATGGATTGAATGAGCAAAACGTGTTAGAGTTCCAAAAGTCATTCTTCCTCGACCGATCCTCTCCTTATCATCATCTCAGAAAGGCTTGCATTCAAACCTTAATCAGATATTGGCCATCCATCAATGAAAGGTATTCCAAGAGACAAATCATGGAATACATGTCGTTTGATCGATATATCAAAGTCACACAGGCCTATTTGAAAATATTTACAAAGCGTACTGCTAAACTTCAGCAACAACTGCAAACTGTTCAACAACTGCAAACAACCCCAACAGCGCTTCAGAATTGATGAGCATGTGCATCCAATAAACAAGACAATACGCAGACAATTTACTTTCCTTGCATGATAGAAATACTATGATCCCAGGATTACTCTGTTGGGAGGATGTTAAATTGAGGGTATTCTCTAGAATAGCCACCTGGCAAGAAACCACAACAATCCAAAAAGAATGAAGCTTGTCACAACCACATAAAATCGATGATTT